GTGAGCTGACCAGCCAGGCACCACACACCCTGGCTTGTTTTCCCTCTCATTACAGGTGGGGAAGGAGCTGGGCTTCAGCTTCTCATCTCTGCCCAGTTACTGACACCTGCCCCCCCCCCAGCTCCTACCGTATCAGTAGAGGTCCCCTCACCTGCCCTAGGGCCGGGCCCACCCGCTCAGATTTACTGATGCCCTGGCAGCTGCCCTCTTCTGCAGCCAAGGTGACAGAGCCATCCTGCGGTGTCTGGCTTCCTGGCAGGAACCGACCTGACCCTGTGAGACCCACACCCCGTCCGCCTTGACAACATGTCACAACTCCAGGGGATGCCCAGGCCTCAGCCCAGACCGACTATATAAGAATCCCTGCAAGCAGGACCTGGGCAGGAGTCCCTTTTAAGACTTTCCCAGCAATTCCGAGTGCTGCCAAGTTTGTGATGATTCAGCGGCCGGAGGGGGCAGAAGATAGTTCACGGGTCAGAGCAAGGACAGTGGTGTGCAGTCCACGAGGGCGCTCTCCAACTCACTCCTCGGTCCTACCCTTGAGAATATGCCAAGGGTGTCTTCCGTTTGGACTTGTACACTAGGGGAAATCGCACACCTCTCATCTCGTTTTCATCACAACCCTTCGCGAGGGTGTTACTGTCATCACCATTTTACAGTTGGAGAAACTGAGGCTCCGGGAGGCTGAGTGATCGTGCAAGGTCACACAGTAAGGAGTGATGTCCAGAATCCAACCCCAGGGCCACTGTTCCATGGGTGTATGGCTTAGTCATGGTGTGGGTGTATAGCCAAGGAAACCCAGACCAAAGCATAAACACAAAGTTGGCGTAAGCAAGTAGCGCATAGCCGGCTGCAGCCGAGCAGTCATTTGTCTTCAAGTACAAACCCTGGACCGTGAAAGGGACTGCGTGCCTTTCTGCCTCTCCTCTCTATTTTCCAATCCCAGTACTACCTCCTCTGTGGAAACATCCAGAACCCCACTGCCTCTCCACTTCACACCCAGCAGGGCTCTGCGGGCCTCCTGGGCACGAAGACTTTCTGTCTGCCCCCCTCTCTCTCTCCTCTCTCTTCCTCCCGAAGCAGCCTTCATTCAGCCTCATTGACCTTCCCTGAGAGACCACAGGCAGATTCAGGCAGTTGTTAATTAGGGGAGAAGGGAGGGAGAAGGGAGGGGCGTGAGAGCAGGGAGAAACACTCAAGAGGAACAATCGTGGAGCCTTGGGCCAGGATCCCGGGCCCCCATCAAGGGATGCACATAGTGAGACCTTTGCGCTGTTTTGCAGTAACTGAAACCCCCTCCAGCTGGGAGAAGTTAACTGTACACTGCCCACAAGCACGTAGACCCCAGACCAGTTGGAACCAGAGGGTTAAAGATGCTGACTCTTACTTACCTAGTGAAAGGGAAAGTCGCTCAGTCCTGTCGGACTCTTTGTGACCCCATGGACTATACAGTCCATGGAATTCTCCAGGCCAGGGTACCGGAGTGGGTAGCCATTCCCTTCTCCAGCAGATCTTCCCAACCCAGGGATTGAACCCAGGTCTCCCACATTGCAGGCGGATTCTTTACCAGCTGAGCCACGGGGAAGCCCAGCTAACAACCAATTAGAAGAATGTCCATGAGCTTCTCACGCCCTCTTTGAACCATTACTATAAACCTCCTCGCTGCCCCATCCAGGTTGGGGGACACACAGTTTTGAGGGCGTTAGCCTGCTGGGGTCTCCTTTTCCTGGCAGAGCAATAAAGCTCTTCTTGTTTACTTGACCCCAAACTCTGTCTCCAATATTTAGCTGAGTGTCAGAATACAGAGGCAGATTCGGCTTCACACTCACCCCCAACTGTCTAGTACCAACTTGTAAAAATTCAGGTCGCTGGGCTGCAACTCAGAACCACTGATAGGTCCTAGCAACGGTGTCTGAAAAATCTACTTTTTTAAAAACAAGCAATCTGCAGGAATCTGACATGCACATACGTTTGGGAACCAGTGATAAAGCCCCTTGCTGCTCCAAAGTGTGGTCTATGGATCAGCAGTGCTGGGACCAGACCGGAGCCTGATAGAAATGTTTACACCCTGGGCAGCCCCCTGGCCAAATATGTCATACTCCACACTTTCACAAGATGCGCAGGGGATCTGCATCAGTATCGGTCAGTTCAGTCGCTCAGTCGTGTCTGATTCTTTGCGACCCCATGAACAGCAGCACGCCAGGCCTCCCTGTCCATCACCAACTCTCGGAGTCCACCCAAACCCATGTCCATTGAGTCGGTGATGCCATCCAGCCATCTGCATACACGCTGGAATTTGAGAAGCGTGCTCTGTGCAACCTGGCGGACATAGAGTGTCCTCAGACACATAGGAGAGGTGCTTCTGAGACGGCTGTTCTTTAAAGGACTGCGTTTGGGGCCGGTTTTAAAGTCCTGTCACCCTGGAGGGAGGTGGGGTTGGGGCCTTACTTTGCAGGGATCCCCTTGTCATCCGGGAGCCCCGCCAGGAGGGGGAGGCGCTAGCGCCCCCGGTGCCCCTGGGGGAGGGGAGCTGGGGACCCAGGGCCGGACTCGCGGCTGCAGGGACAGACCACAACCGGGAGAGGGCGCCGCACACCTCCGGAAAGAGCCAGCCGGGGGAGGGGAGACAGCCCGACAGCCGGGCGAGCCGGGACCGCGGGGCTTCCGGGACAGGAACCTCCGGCAAACTCAAAGAGAGCTGGTCACTCTGACCGGGAGTGGTGCACACACACCCGTGCACACATGCACGTATGCACATCACATGCATAACACAGGGGGCCCGCACACGCACAACACTCACCCGTGCACTTGGGCCACAACACCGGCAAAAGTACACACGCACCACTCGCACAACGCATTGATAATACACAGTCGGCACACTCACAACAAACACACATGCTCACGGACCACACGGACACGCCAAACGAGCCGTCCATCGCAGCACGCGCGCGCGCGCACCCGCACAGCGCAGGCGCACTCCATGCCGCAGGCACAGCACACATAACGCGCACATGTACCACACATGGTGGGCCACACCCATGCGCTTCACACCACTCACACGGCGCATCATACGCACCATACATGTGCAGCACAGTCACAGCACAATATGCGTGCACACGTACCGCAAAAACATGCCGCCTGAGCATCACATCACGACAGAGACACAAGGCCACGTGCACAACATGTGTGAGGTGTGCACACGTCATGCAATCATGACGTGTACACACACGAACACTGACACCCTGAGGACACTCAGGCGTACGTGACAGCACACCACACCACGGGCACCGCTAATACTGCACACAACACACTTGCACAGCGTCCATTTACCACGCAACACAGTGCATTCACCTTGTGCGAGGCAGACACCCAGTCTCACACACACACACAGCCACAGACTTGATTGAGGCCGTGTGTCTGGTTGGAAAACCTTCTTGCTCTAGGCCAGTGAAAAGATGCTTCATAGAATTAGAAGACGATATACCGGCTCATTCAGCAATCGCTCCTTTGCTGTGTGCTGGGCCTCCAGGCCCACCGCACGGCGGGGGAAGCAGGCACTGAATAAACCAGTACATCGAGGACCATTTAGCCTCAGCTGCAGCGAGTGCTGTGAATTAAAGCGGCCGGCAGCACAAAACGGCGACAGGGCGGGCCTGGCGGGGTCTGGGAGTCTCCCGAAAGGAGCTGTTTCGGTTGAGATCTGGAGACGAGCCGCAGGGCGGGGGCTTGCGACCTGGACGAGGCGCTGAAGTCCAGAGTCTGCGCATCTGCCCTTCCCTGAAGGCAAGAAGCCGCGCCCGCAGGAGCCGGGTCGGCTCCGAGGACTACATGGCCCCGCCCCCTGCTGCCCCACTCCGCACCTCCCACCCAGAGGCGCGGATGGTGGGTTTGCTTCCTGGGAGACTCTCCCAACTCCGGGAAGAGCCGTGCCTACCGGGAAGGGACCCGATCACCCGCTACCCAGCTGCACTGCCCCTGGATGCTGGGGATGGTGCGGAGCGCAGGGGGTCCAGGATGAGTCCACCGTCTCCCTGCGCACAGTTTGTGGGTCATCATACCTCCCAGCTTGCCTCCTGGGCTGGTCCTGGAGTTGGTGGAACCACCCTGGCAGGTCAGACTGCATCAGTGCAGTATTCTAGCTCCTGGGTCCTGCGCGGTCCAACTCGTCTAGTGGGCTAAGGGGGAAGGCATAGTGTAGGGAGGGGCTCGGACTGGTTGGAGCAAAGCCCTGCTTCGGTGCCTCCCAGCTGTGTGATTGTGGACTAGTCACTTGGCCTCTCTGTGCCTCATGAAAGTGAAAAAGTGAAGTCGCTCAGTCGTGTTTCACTCTTGGCGACCCCATGGACTGTAGCCCACCAGGCTCCTCCGTCCTTGGCGTTTTCCAGGCAAGAGTACTGGAGTGGGTTGCCATTTCCACCTCAATGCTCATACCTATAAAATAGGCATGATAGCCGAGCTAGCACCCGTCTCGCTAAGTTGTAAGGCCTTTATCAGTTGATACATGAAAAGCTCTTTGATTAAAGCCAAGCAATGGCAAGATCCACATAAATGTTAACTACAGTCGTTACTTTCATCCAAATGAAAAGCAAGCCCAACAATCACAATATCTAACTGTGCTGGAGTGACTTAGTCCTGGAAGCGTCTCGGGGAACATCGGCTCCCAGGCCCCTCGGGGTTAGAGATACGGCTGACCGGCGATCCAGAGCCATCCAGGGCCGGAAGGACTGGAACCCGGGTCGGTGGGGAGGAGAAGGGACGGGACGGGGAAGAGTTCCTCCCTCTCCGTCTCTAGGACGGTGGGTCTCCCTTGGAGGGCTGGTTAAAGACAGACGGCCGGACCGCGTCCGGGGTTTCTGCCTCTGCGGCTCTAACAAGTCCCCAGGTGATGCCGTGGGTCCGGGGACCACACCTGGAGAAGCACCGCCTGCCACAGCGGGAGCGGCGGGCGGAGCGTCTGCGCCCCTCCAGGAACCGGGAAGGGGCGGCCGGGGTTTACTTACAGCGGATGCCGCGAGCCCCCCCTGTGCGCGGGGCTGCGGGCACTGGGCGCCTCCTCCGGGCTGAGCGCGGTCCGCTCCCCCTCTTCGGACGCCTCCTCGTCCTCCTCATCCTCCTCCTCGGCCGCCCAGTCCCTCTCCGGGGCCGCCGCGTCCTGCTGCTTGTGCGGCCGCTGGATAAGCCGGTAGCCGCCGCCTCGCCCGCCCCGGCTCCGGTTCCTTCCGGCCCTGAGCGAGCCCACGGCCACCAGGAGCTGGTCCTCCCGCAGGGAGACGAGGGGCGGCAGGGGGCCGTACTCCTGGTCCTCCTCCTCGGACTCCAGCAGCCACTCCTGGGGGTCCCCAAAGTCCAGGCGGTAGGCGGCCTGGGAGCTGCGCACGGCCGCCTGGGGGACTGGGGGCGCCCGGGGCAGGGCGTGCGGGGGCGGGTGCAGGGCCCCCAGCATCAGCAGCACGCACCCCAGCACCAGGAGGGCGAGCAGCGCCTGCCGCCGGCAGGGTCCGTGTCTGCGCCGCTTCCTTACGAGCATGCTGCGGGGAGCTGCCAAACGCAACAGGTCATGTTCCACTTCACCGTCTCCTCCCGCTCCGGGGTCCTCCACGCTGGCAGCACAACCTGGCTTCCTGGGTCCACTTGGAAGCGTTTTTTTTTCTTTTTCTTTTTTTGCCAGCTCACTTAACCTGGTCCTTTCCCCCTCCCCGCAGTTGACACTTGCCAGCAGCGTGTGTAAGACCAGCTGCCACTCAGAAAGCTACGGACCCAGGTCCCAGCCCAGGTCCTCTCTGAGCGGATGTCTTTAATTGCCTTCCGAAAGCCCATCCACGGGGGCCTGGGGCGGGGGCGGGGGGCACTTCAGACTGAACCCTGGTGCCCTTTTCCTCTTTGGGAAAAAGAATAATTCCTTTCTGCTCAGGGGGCGAGTCCCACGTGTTTCGCTCCCAGCCCCCTCGCCGCTTGCATGAAGGGTCAGGTTGCTGTAGGGTGTCTGCGGGGAGCCGGGAGGTCTCGGTCCGGCAGAGCTGACCCCCGTCCTCCTTTGGACCCTTCAGGTCAGGTCGGATCCACAGATGTGAAGCCGGAGCAGCCTAATTTGGTTTCATACTTCGCTCTGCGCTCGGCCAAGACGCTGCGGGCCCGGCGGGCGGGCGGGCGCCCGGCTCCTGGTCCTAAAGCCCTCACTGTTCCCGGGAACGCGACCCGGGTAAACAAACACTGGCGCTGCTGGGACCAATCCCAGCGGGAACACCCCGGGGAGGTCCGGTCTGCATCTGATCCCGGGAAGGCTTCTCTCCCCACCCAAAGGGGCGGGAGAGAGGATTCCCGCTTGATTTCCAGAGGGCTGTTCCTGGGACGGAAATGCAGGCTCAGGTGATCCTGGAGAGCCAGGCTGGGCCCTCCCTCCCTTCCTGAGGACCCCGTCTTCCTCCTTCTGAAAAGGAGGCGAGCTGGTGGAGATGCTCCCATAACAAGCTCCCCCTGCCCACCCGATCCCCTGAATGCCTGCCTGGCCCTGGCCACCGAGCAGGTGGGGTCAGGGAGGGGGATGCTGAAACAGGAAGGGTACGCTCCCTCCGCTGTCCACTCCCTTTATTCAAACCACACATAATGATGAGCCTCCACCTTCTGCCGAAACTATTCCTGGGGGCTGGGCGCAGAGATCGCAGCAAATAAAACAAAGCAAAATAAAGCAAAATGTGTGCCTTGTGGAACTTACAGCCTAGTGGGAGCGATTAAGAAAGACCTACAGTGGGAGAGATGGTGACAGTGCTAACGAGAAGACAGAGGGAGGGGGCCGGAGAGCAGGGGCTGGGGGCGGGCAATCCACCGGGAGTGAGGAAGGGGTCCCAGAAGCTCTGCTGAAGGAGGAGGGCTGGGCGGTTCAGTGAAGGGGGAGGAACAGCAGGTGCAAAGGCAAGAGCGTGCCTGGCCTTTGGAGAACCCGCAGAGGGCCCGTGAGGCTGGAGCAGGGTGGGCGGGTGGGGATGGGATGAGAGAGGTAAGGGGGGCATCTTTTAGGACCTTGGGGGGCACCGCCAGCCCTTGGGCTTTTCCTCTAAGATGGGAGCCTTGGAGGGCTGTAAGCAGGAGACAGGTGCCACGGACTGGAATGCTAACTGGACGCTCTGGCTGCTGAAGTTAGACAGCGGGAGCGCAGGGCAGAAGCAGGGAGACCAACTGAGGCATTGCTGCAGGGAGACACGAGGGCCTCCCTGGAACCAGAGGTGAGTGCTCAGCTTGGGCACGTATTTTAAGGAAGAGCCTGTGAGATTTGTCGGTGCATTTGTGGGTGAGAGACAGGTGAGTCCAGGATGGTTACAAGTATCAGGTCCAGGCGGCTGGAGGAATCAAGTTGCCCTCGAAGGAGATGGGAAGGCTGGGAGCAGGCAGAGGGCAGAGGGTCAGCAGTGGCTCAGGGGGGACACACATCGTTGAAGATGGTGTTTCAATGGCCAAAGGGAGGGGAGGCGTGGGCAGCTAGACGTATGGATACCTGGGGGTTTATAATAGCTGGAGGTCAGGGGACAGGTCTGGCTTGAAGATGTAAAATCAGACGCCAGCAGTATAGATATGGCTTTTGAAGATTTTGGGAGTGATGGAGACAAGAATATAATCAATCTGATTTCGGTATTGACCATCTGGTGATGTCCATGTGTAGAGTCATCTCTTCTGTTGTTGGACAAGGGTGTTTGCTATGACCAGTGCATTCTCTTGGCAAACTCTGTTAGCCTTTGACCTGCTTCGCTTTGTACTCCAAGGTCAAACTTGCCTGTTACTCCAGGTATCTCTTGACTTCCTACTTTGGCATTCCAGTCCCCTATAATGAAAAAGACATCTTTTTGGGGTGTTACTTCTAGAAGTAGGTCTTCGTAGAACCGTTCAACTTCAGCTTCTTCAACATTACTGGTCGGGGCATAGACTTGGATTATTGTGATATTGAATGGTTTGCCTTGAAAATAAACACAGTCATTCTGTCATTTTTGAGATTGCACCCAAGTACTGCATTTCAGACTCTTTTGTTGACTATGATGGCTACTCCATTTCTTCTAAGGGCTTCCTGCCCACAGTAGTAGATATAATGGTCATCTGAGTGAAATTCACCCATTCCAGTCCATTTTACTTCACTGATTCCTATAATGTTGACGTTCGCTCTTGTCATCTCCTGTTTGACCACTTCCAATTTGCCTTGATTCATGGACGTAACATTCTGGGTTTCTATGCAATATTGCTCTTTATAGCATCGACTTTATTTCCATCACCAGTCACATCCACAACTGTGCATTATTTTTGCTTTGGCTCCGTCCCTTCATTCCTTCTGGAGTTATTTCTCCACTGATCTCCAGTAACATACTGGGCACCTACCAACCTGGGGAGTTCATCTTTTAGTGTCCTATCTTTTTGCCTTTTCATACTATTCATGGAGTTCTCAAGGCAAGAATACTGAAGTGGTTTGCCATTCCCTTCTCCAGTAGACCACATTTTGTCAGAACTCTCCACCATGACCTGTCCATCTTGGGTGGCCCCACACGGCATGGATCATAGTTTCATTGAGTTAGACAAGGCTCAAAAAACTAAGATCATGGTATCCGGTCCCATCATTTCATGGCAAGTAGATGGGGAAACAATAGAAAAAGTGAAACTATTTTCTTGGGCTCCAAAATCACTGCAGATGGTGACTGCAGTCATGAAATTAAAAGACATTAGCTCTTTGGAATAAAAGCTATAACAAACCTAGACAGCATATTAAAAAGCAGAGACATTACTTTGCCAACAAAGGTCCATCTAGTCGGAGCTATGGTTTTTCCAGTAGTCATGTATGGATGTGAGAGCTGGACTATAAAGAAAGCTGAGTGCTGAAGAATTGATGCTTTTGAACTGTGGTATTGGAGAAGACTCTTGAGAGTCCCTTGGACTGCAAGGAGATCCAACCAGTCCATCCTAAAGAAAATCAGTCCTGGGTGTTCATTGAAAGGACTGATGCTGAAGCTGAAACTGCAATACTTTGGCCACCTGATGTGAAGAGCTAACTCTTTTGAAAAGACCCTGATGCTGGGAGGGATTGAGGGTAGGAGAAGGGGACGACAGAGGATGAGATGGTTGGATGGCATCACCGACTCAATGGACATGGGTTTGGGTAGACTCTGGGAGTTGGTGATGGATGGGGAGGCCTGGCGTGCTGCAGTCCATGGGGTCGCCAAGAGTCAGACACGACTTAGCGACTGAACTGAAGTGATGGAGACAAGAGATGGCAGGGGCGTCGGTAAGCTCAGAGTCCTCGGGCATCTGGTGGACCGGATTGATGGAGGGTAGGTAACATCATCACTAGAAGCGACTCTTTTGATAACTATAGGAGGAACCGGGGTGTGGGGGGCAGGTTCCTGAAATGGATTGCTCATTTTTGTTTCTGATTTGATTTTGATCTTAGATTGTGAGCATAAAACATCTCATGGAAAAAAACGTTTTTCCTTTGGACTCAGTTGCTGCTTCCGGTGTGTGCATTTGTGCTCATATTTGTTTCCCCTGAAGCCACTCAGAGGTGAACGAGTGGGTCCTAAACAACTGTTCTCAACAGCCCAGCCCCCAGCGGGCATCTCATGGGAATTGACAAATTGGACTGTATTTTCCAAATCCCACATCAGGATGTCCAGAGGGTGGGAGTTGCGTGACTTCCAGGTTCAAGAGGCAGGCATTCTGGGAGATGTGGTTTATTTATTTATTTTTTTAAGATTTTTTTTTTTTTTGGATATGGACCATTTTTAAAGTCTTTATTGAACTTGCTACAGTAGTGCTTCTGTTGTTCTGTTTTTTGGCCCCAAGGCACGTGGGATCTGAGCTCTCCACCCAGGGATTGAACCCATACATACCCTCTGGAGTGGAAGGTGAAATCGTAACCACTGGGCGGCCTGGGAAGCCACTGGGAGGTGTGGTTTAGAATGTAGGGACCTCTGGGGGTTGGGGATGATGAGAGGGAGAGTTCCCCTTCCCGGGGGCTCTCAGAGACCTAAGGGTGTGGGGTCTCCACCATCGGGCAGAGTACCTCCTCCCCCGTCCAGTAACACCGACCTCAGGCTGGCCAGCTTCGTCCCACAGCAGGGCCTTTACCTGATCTCCCCTCCGCTTGAGGGCTCTTTTCGCAGAGGTCCAGCCTTATGCCTCATTCCTCCACTTGGGTGTCAAGCCCAGAGTCGCCTGTTCAGGGAGACCCATCCACGTGTGGATTTGTCACCCCTGCGTTCTCCGTATCTTTGGGGCGCTTCTCAATATTCAATATTCTTGATCTGTTTCAATTCATTTTCCTCCTCATCATGGGTCATATTTTACTGACTCTTTGCATGCCTCATCATTTTTAATTTGATGCCAGATGCTGTGAATTTTATCTTGTTGGATACCGGATACTTTTGTATTTCTGTAAGTATTCTTGAGCTCTCCCCAGAAGGTCTGGCCTTGGAGCGGTATTTAACTGAGGGTCAGTGTCTCCACTGCTGAGACAAGGTCTGAGTCCTCTCCCGGTCTCCCGTGTATGTCAAGGGT